CCTCCCTGGCCATCTCAGGGACAATTACCTTATATGAGACTGAATTCAGTTAAATGAGACAAGCCCATGACCCTTTGCTTTTATTAGACTTTGGTACGAAATCAGAAGTCTGGTAGCCTTAGAGTAAAATGGTTACATGAATCCATGACACTAGACACACGTAAACTCAACGCCTGATCAACAGTGAGAATGATCAGCTGGAGACAAGCACATTATAAAGAAAAACAACAGTCAACTTAATTATAACCTTGGCTTATTTTAGAGAATTCTTAAACAAGATGACCTAGAGTAGAATGGTCAACATTAAAGGAAACAGAAACAAGGTGCAAGAGACCTAGAAATAAAAGAAGAAACAACCTAACCAAGATGATATAAAATGGGACATCTGAGAAAGAAATACAAATAGCACATAAGTTATTCACAAAGTTGAAAATAAATATGTCGTCAATCATGAATCCAGGAACCAAACGAACCAACAGCTTTAAACCAGACATTTTCTTATGGGAATCTACGTTAAACCAGCTCAGCATCATAGTCATCAATATGAAAAAAATTAATAGGTCAGAGGTGATAGCGAACGAGAAGGGCCGTCATGCGTAAGTAACGAGGCGCAGAGAACCAGAGTGAACTCCTGAAAGACAATATTTCTGTTGACAAGGACTGCAAAGAACTGTACAGAGGTCATGAGAGAAAGAGTTCACGAGAGAAATTAGTGAATTAAGGTTCTATTCATGGATGAAATGGACATAAGAGTTGTTTATGGGAAGCAAAAGCCTAAGAAACCGACCTTTAAAATAGTGTATACAAAGCTGTAACTTGAAAAAAAACTAAACGAGCAGAAAGGCATATGCTTACGTCTTCCTTCCTCACTTCCAAGCAAAATGACAAAAAACACATAAATATGTAGGTACATAAATACATGTTTATGCTTATACATGTATTGCATGCATGCATATATATGCGGAGAGCAAATAAGACGTAAAAGTATCTCGACGATAACCACAGTCGAAAGGCTGTGAGATTACTGAGGGCCATTGAAAAAAGTAGAACTAGTTCATCCTTGCAGAAAAGTCAATCTCAAAAAATAAAAGTAAATAGTGGATAAAACAAGCCAAATATCCGACCTAATTCATGGATAACAGAATAAATACAAGTACTTGATTGTAAATATATATTTAAACTTAAAGTTATAACTAGATAAGTCTGTCATACATGAAAAATAACTTGATACTTAGCTAGTCAATTATAATGGCCTTACATATGCATATAACAATATTTAGCCTGAACGGCAAAAGATTGACGATAAAAAAATCTATAAATATGTATTTTACAGCATATGACTGGGCAATGACAAGATGGGAGAAGCACACAACAAATAAACACGTAATTTTCAGCAAAAAACGATGCCTATCTTATGTGTGAAATAAAGAAAGATTGCTGTTAACTTCAGTTGCAGACAGTTAACCCACTAGTACTGAAAGAGAAGAATTGAAAATACCAAAATAGATGAAGCACAAGGAAGTCCGGGAAAAAGCCATATACACATCATTTTCTTTGACGTAAATTGCAATATGTAAAAATAAAAGATGCACAGCTTAGTAGCCGTAGGATTATCTTAAATATCAATTTCGCATAAATACTTACAGCCCTGTATGCGTGGCTCTGGTTGGACAGTTATGCTGAGGATAAAAAAGGAAAGTTGTCGGCGGTTGGAGTTACGTCTTTGATGAAATAAAGACAATATATAGTCCAGCTCGTAGTCTTAGCTCACTTAAAATACTGTCATGCAATTTGATTAATTATCGCAGCCATCCCTCGATCAGAACTAATAGCAAATGGGATGGAACATAGGCATGAGAAACCCCAACTAGTTGTTACTAATCGGTAACTTCAGTGGCCGTGGAGTGAAGTGGTAACGTCGCTGGCATCGAATCCCGATGGAGGTGCTGATAGGATCTAAGAAAGGTCGAGATTGCAATCAAGCTTGGAAGAGGAAACCTTTTGGGACATAAGGCGAAGTGAAATAGAAAGATGAAATTCAGCTATGAGCAACCTAAGCTTGCCAAGTTCTTACTTCCATACAGAGCCTTCATTAGTAGCTTGGCCGAAATGATCTGGATTAAATGCCCAGCTAACCTTGGTTTTAATAGAAATTCTGCAATACGAGCTTAGCTTTCTAAGCATAGAAACGCGCGTAAATTACTCGAGTTCGGCCATTTTGGCTAAGGGAAACTCGAAAGAAGATTTGTGATTTGCAATATCCAAGCAAAGGACTCAAGCGCTCCCCCCCTCCGACTTATGAGTAATGTGGCTGATCATCAATGACTGTCCACAATTACCGCTTGCTCGTAGACTCAATACAGGCACTCGATTAGCTTGACTTTGGAAGTTACCCCTTTGCGGGTTTGTGAATGAGGCTGAAAGATCAGTGGCATAGCAGAGCCAAGAAAAGCGTCGCTTGGTTACAACGTTTGCGCCGAACCAAATGGAGATGTCTCTTTTTCTGGAAGTGGGCTTTATCTGCAGCGACGTCTCTGGAAGCAGAGCTCTGGTGGCTGCGTGCCCTACTTCGATGCTGGTACCTTCACATAAAGTGGCGAGTTGCTTTGTGCTGATACGATAGCGTACCGACTGAAGAACATATCGTGATCCAGGCGAAGGGTGACCTTTAAAAATTATTGAGGTTCCTTTAATTTCGAGGGAAAGTGTGTTTTAATGAAGAGATTCGAAGGTCTAGACCATCAAAGATGATGGCGGATTCCACTTGGCCAGGTGTCAATTGGCTCACTGGATTATCCCGTAATGCTTCATATAGACCCAAATAGTATGCATTTTAGAAGTTGTTTGACCTTGTTTTCGCAACTCGGTCATATTGGTAGGAAGACTTATTGGAACGCACCTAGTCCGGGGTCCATTGTGTGCATCATCATTTCCAGAGTAGGACCGTGGACGTGGTACATTCCCTGACGTTTCGCCGGCATCGTCAGTGAGTATCGCCATTCTTAGCACCACAACCACTCGTCAGAGACAAGTGAAACCCATCCTTTGATCAAACGTGTGCTAAACCGTTGTGGTATCTCCCCTTCTGCCCTGGGCTATTCACATTTCCTATATCCTCCTATCATGCCTTCCCCGTCACAATTTTTTAGCAGAC